ACCCCCACTCTCTTTGTATCAATCTCCCACCCACCCCCTCCCCCTCTGTCTCTCTCCCACATCACCCCCTTCTCTTTTAAACCTATCCCCCCCCCTTTTCAGGTCCAACTACTACGCCGTGGACAACGTCCAAGCTCTGGGAAGTGGCTACAACAGATATGGAAGCACCGGAACTGGCTACAATGGAAATGGCTATAACAAGAATGACAACAACAACACCACCACCAACGGCAGTAACGGAAACGGCAACAGCAACAGCAATAATGGCTACAATTCAGTCAACAATGGCTACAACTCGAATAACAACGGATACAACTCAAACAGAAATGTCTACAATCCAAACAGAAGTGGCTACAATTCAAACAGGAATTATTATTACTCAAATAGAAATAGCTACAATCCCAACAGAAATGTCTATAACTCAAATAGAAACGGCTACAACTCAAACAGAAATGGCTACTATAGAAACAATAATGGCTACTACAGAACCGACAATGTCTACTACAGAAACAACAATGTCTACAACCCAAACAGTAATGGCTACAACCCAAACAGCAATGGCTACAACCCAAACAGCAATGGCTACAATCCAAACAGCAATGGCTACAATGGAAACAGAAACGACTACAGCGGCAGTGGTTACAACGGAAATAACTACGATGGAACTGGCTTCAATGGAAATGGTAACACTGGAAATGGCTTCAATGGAAATGGTAACCCTGGAAATGGCTTCAGTGGAAACGGGTAAGGTTTTATGAAGATTTAGACTGTTTTTCTTTTCTCTCTCTCTTTTTTTTTTCTTTCTTTCTTCTTTTTTTTTAAAGTTCATTTATCTCTACCTACTTCTGGAAATGGTTTCAATGGAAAAGGGTAAGGTTTCTGTAGATTAGACTGGGTTTTTTTTTTGGTTTTTTTTGTTTGGGGGGGGGGGGGTTGTTTGTTTTTTGTGTTCTTTTTTTCTCTTTTTTCTCTCCGTTCGTTCTTCTCCGCCTACTGTAATCTGAGTCGGTGTCTATTGTACATTGTATATTATTATGCCTCACGCCACCATTAATAAAATTAAATTTGCGTGATTGGCGGGTGCTCTGTTGTGGTTTGCTCCTGCTTTCCTATAAAACATAATGTTATTATATTTTTAGCATTTTTTATCCTCGTTATCTCCCTTCTTTTTTTCTTTTGCCTATGTTACTTTCTTGTAGCACCTCTACTCTTCCGCACGTATGTGACCATTGATACAATTAATTTTTGGTGGTTGGCATGTGCTGTGATGTAGTTTGCTCCTTCTTTCCTATAAAACATATTATTATATAAATATTTTTAAAAATTATCATCTTTATCTCCCCTCCTTCTTTTTTGCGTTTGTTACTTTCTTGAAACACCTCTTATCTTTCGCACGTATATGACCATTGCTGCAATTAATTTTGGGTGGGTTGGCGGATGCTCTGTTGTGGTTTGCTCCTGCATTCCTATAAAACATATGTTTATCATCTTTATCTCCCCTCCTTCTTTTTTGCGTTTGTTACTGTCTTGTAACGCCTCTATTCTTCGCCACTTTTATATGACCTTATTGTGTTTTAAGAGCCTTAAAACTCATACCAAGACAAAATCGTCGACACAATTTGGGTCGTCCAGGGGGTGGGCTGCTTTAGCATTCAGCCCCCGTCTGTCAGTATCAGGACCAACCAAGGCTCAGTTCGATACAACATCGTGGTTGGCAGGCAAATACGACAGGGAAAGTAACAACACTGTGGACGTTGATCTGCAAAGACATTTCATTGAACTTTTTCATAGATTTTCCAAACTCCTACAGAAAAAGCTTCTCTCTCTCTCTCTCTCTCTCTCTCTCTCTCTCTCTCTCTCTCTCTCTCTCTCTCTCTTT